ACCTGGGTCTGCCAGGGGTACGTGGACCCCAAATTAAGCAGCCCCGAAATGTAGAAGTACAGGGTTTTTAAGCCCTAAATCCCATTCCTCATTCTGTCTTAAACACAAAGGTCTATTTTTCTCCTATTCAGTACCTGTCAACCCACAGGTCGGTTGTGCAAGCTGGGGTACAGAAGCAGAAAGCTTATTGTTAGAATGTTATGTTCCCATGTGTGATAGTCTATGTTCCAATGGGTGATAGCCTATGTTCCCATGGGCGATAGTCAAACAGTAAATTTCCTACAAGTAAAAAATCTCAAGTAGTCATTCTTCGGCCAACACACACTCACTGAGGCACTAAGATGGGGAAAGAATAAGGCAGTCACAATATACACTGACAGCTGATACGCCTTAATTTGGGGTCTGCATACCCCTGGCAGACCTAGCTGGCTAAATAAGGAGTGTGTTTCCTATAACTCACTGATTTCTGGTGGTCCATGTGTCTGTCTATCGGGGGCTGGCGGGTACAACATGTAAAGTGAAGCCAAAGGAGTGTGTAAACTTGCCTACTGGTTGGCTAATTCCTTGCATGGGCGGAGCTTCAGTTGGAAAGAAGAAGGTTATCAACCCTCATTTCATCCTCCCACAATGCTAGAGACAAGAGCCAGGAAGAGATGAGGTGAGTGGTGGAGTTCTTATATACTCTTCTTGGGTTTGGCTGGGTAGTTATATTTTGTGACTAAATGTGCAGTTTGTATTAAGCAATTGTTTTAACTTTGTGGTTAGTTTAATGCCTATATTTCTAGACTTGCCTATTCAGAAAAAGGGAGCAGATATTTGTTTCTTCATAGTAGGTATGTAAATGAAAACAAGATAGCAAATGTACATGTAGACAAGGCCTTTTGAAGACTTTCACTACCAATTCATGATATACTTAATATCAGATGTTAATATCTCCCACACCCATATTATACATTAAATGTAATTTCAAAAATAAGTATGTGAGAGTCGAGTGAGTTTCAGTTGATGGGAGGATATAACATGCTTAATAGAATTTAAATTTTTATGAATTTTTGAGCCATTACATTTTTTTTTTGGCAAATCTCATACTTTTGTACATGATTGAAAAGAACATGGCACCACTCACTCTGTGTCATGGTGCTAACGGGTCAACTAAGTCTCCTGCATCTGTATGTCACTCCATTGTGCTTGGAAGATTTAATCCAGGTGATCTGACACTAGGGTCTTCCTCAGGGGTCCTGCGTTCCCAGGGAACTGTACCCAGTTGAAAAGCAGGAGTCTCTAAGGCAAGCCCTGACACAATTTTTTTCTAGGACTTGATCCAATCTTTAAACAGCAACAGGTTATGTGGTTGCTCTCGTTGCTCATTCTCTAAGCAGCTTCGATGACTTGGATAGATGAAAGCCTCTTTCTTGGCTATATTTTTCATTTAAATAAGTTTATAAGCCTTGGGGACATAACTCAACCTTTCGTGAGTTTGGGAAACATGAATCAATTCAGTAGACTAATTTTCTGGAAAAAAAATTAGGTTCTGAAACTGAAATATAGAGCTCTCTGGAGAAGATGCTTAGCATGTGAGGTTGGAATAGAGCTCCCTTCTTGATCATCCTCGTCCATCAATAACCTACCTCCTCCCCACTCAAGAATATCGTTCAGCTGTTTGTTTATTAAAAATTCCATAGAAATACTTGAGCACATTTTTGGAGGAGCTAGTTCCATGTAGGGGACATTCCCTTTGATAACATGTCAAATCTAAATAACATGTCAAATCTAACTCATTAAATGTTTTGCTATTGTGTCATATATTATAAAAATAGAAGAGAAATACTTTGTAATTGTTTAAAAATGTGCTGTAACTTTAAAGCTATACTGAAAGTCTTGGTGTGCTCTGAAACATTATATACTTACGGCTAAAATGGTGCTACATCCTTCCAAACTAGAAAATTTAAGTTCTGTCGGGAATACAGGGTTATCTGGGAGGGTTTTTTATCTCAGTGACGAATTTTGATCTGCTTGTTATAATGAAGATAGGCCATTCTGAGCCACTGGAAAAGCCAAAGTAAAAGTTAAGGCTATTTCTATTCATAATAGAATCGACATCTTATATTCTGGCCCAAAACATCTGCTAAAACCGGCAACTTCTTAAATTAACCCCTTAAAATTTTCATGATCCAGAAAAGTCACCAAAATCTTATTTTTTGCCCGTTTAAATAATTGAGAAAAATATGCGTCGTTCACCTCAATTATCCAGAATGACTGTTAACTTGTCAGTAGAATTTCACCCCCCAAAACTGGCTGCTTTCCTAAGACATGTGTTCGGCAGATAACAGTGTAGGGCAAAGAATGAAGACAAGAGAAGAGAAACAAGATAAGAAAGATTGCTAAAACAGGAAAAAATGAAAGAGAATATCTAATTTAGAACCAACTCCTCGTTTTATAGTTGAGGAAACTGACATTTCTTTCAGAACTGCCCTAGGACTGGATCCTGCACACCTGGTACTTTGTTAAGCTTCAGAATTGAAGGCCTCACATCCTAGGAATCCCTCTCTTAAAAGGGGATCAGTAAAAATGATCTAACATGAGAAATTTACTTCTGATTCTCCCAAATTCCCTCTGCCCTTCCCTTTCTCGGTTCTTTGCCACACATAACTCCAGCACTTCACTATTTGTTCATCCTACTTTTTAGATACCACGTTCTGCAATTTATGCCTCCTAGCTCTCCCTTGGAAGGATAACCCAGGGCTGTACACTGAGCCCCATGTGCAGTTTAGTTGGGTTTTAACTCTAGATTCAGCTTCTCAAACTTTAATATCCAAGTGAACCACCTGGGTATCTTGTGAAGAATGCAGACAATGAGTCAGTAGATCTGGCCCAGGGACTGAGATTCTGCATTTCTAACACTCTCCTGGGTGAAACTGATGCTGCTGGTCCAAAACTGTGCTTCTAGAGAATGCCTTCCACTTCTTTCGGAAGCATATGTGAACGTTGACGCAATCTAGAGATATAGATGTGCAAGTGTGTGTCTGTGTGTGGCATTCTTTTAGTCCTTACTATATTCAGCAATTCACATAAACTATCTTACTTCCACCTCATAACTAACTAAATGAATTAGGAATTATTAGCCTTGTACGAATGAGGAAACTGAGGCACAGAAAGGTTATAAAACTTGCTTAAGTGAGAGGTAGAGCTGAGATTTGAACCTAGGTCTTTGCTTAAACTAGTACCCAGGGACTAACTCAGATACATTTTCTAAAACATTTAGGGCATATTTGTTCTCCAAGGACCACACTCCAACTATCCGAAGGTTGTCTGTCATGTCATCATCGCTGCTTTCTCTCACCTCACCTCAGGCATGGGCACCTGGGGCTCTCAATGGGGGAGTGTACCCCACTGCTCATCTCAGAGGTAAAGTTTGTGAGCCCTGGGAGGTGAGTCTCAACTCTCAATGTCGTAAGAACCCTACAGGAGCCTTCTTGGTGCACCAGGTTTATTGAATTTGGGACATACCTGTTGGTCAATGTCAGCAGCACAAGAAGCAGAGTTGAAAAGGGTCATGAATTTATAGTTGGCTCAAGGGCAGTTCCAGGTCTTCCAGCAGCTTTTTCTCTTGAGTGTTTGCATTTTGGGTGAAATCCAGAATACACTACTCCTTTGTTTCCTGCCTCTTCATTTCCCAGGGACGGAATGAATATTTCCATTGCACCTGTGCTTTTAAGCTTTGACAATGTACTTAAAAACAAACAAACAAACAAACAAACAAACAAAAAAAAACAATGAGAATAATTGAATTTACCATCTGAAGCATAAATAAACTTGGTCTTCTGTATTACCAAGCAGAAGTTTATCCTAATCTTTGTGGAAATTTATTAGAAGTCAAGGAAAAAAAACTAAAGGACTTAGTTTATGTCCTTAACTATAATTCCATGGAGCATGGAGGAGTGGGGCTCGGAAAAACAAACATATTTATATGTACCCATCCGTAAGGCTCTGTTCAATTCCCGTAAGACCGTATTGTACTTTCATTAAACACTTATTTCATTCTGACTCACCTCTTAGTAGTCTGGATGTTTCCATCACTAGATATAAGGTTTGTGAGGTTTTTGATGGCAGGAACCACATCTTAGTTTTCTTTGTATGCCTGGAGTGCCTAATCTAATACTATATCCATAGTAGGAACTCAATAAATGTTTGATATTGAAAGAAAGAATGAAAGATCAAACACAGAAATTTAATAAGTTAAGAAACTGGTACATACCTCAAAGTGGCACACTGAGGTAATAGCTGCCACGTGTCTGGGATAACACCAGGTTGGTTCTATAGGAGATGGAAGAACTATGCCACAACCCCTGCCTTCCAGAAGTTTCCCTCTTTGTTGGTGTTTTGCAGTGAAGAATCCAGGGAGAGCAGCTGGTTCTTGGGCTATCAGCTTGTAAGAGGTATAGGGCCCCTTCTCTGTGCTCAGCCCTTGGAGGAGGGGTTGGGGTGGGGACTGCTGAGCCTTGTTTAACAACCTCCAGTTCAGTTCTCCATCATCCATCTGAGAACCTAATTTAAAGGCCACAGAGCCAGCTGAGTCTGAGAGATGAGGAATGTCTGGTTGGCCAGAGCCAGCTATTTATGGTGCACACAAACATTTGTTGGGATTTTTCCAAGTGGTTGCTGGTTATTAACAACCAGAGGAAAAAGTTTCCTTCTCTTGATCTAGAAAGGGAGGGTTGCCAGATACCGGCCTATTATCTGAGGTGG